AGTGCTTCTTAAACGTATGCAAATGGTATTAATTTGACAAAAACGTGCTAATCAAAGGTTAAAGAATAAGACTTAGATAAAGACCAATATAAGAATTAAAGTGAAGGTGAGTACGTAAACAGATAAAGAAAAGGATAATAGCCCAGTTATGCATACTTAGCTTTGCATGAGAGTTGTCACATAATAATCTGTTAAACGGGGTTTGCGTGTAAGCGATTACCCAACGCATAGCACTTAACATGTAGATATCTGTTGGGTTTTGATTTTTACGTAAAAGTTTTTTAGCAGTGCAAGTATGCATAACTGGACTTTAAGGGCAAGGGTAAAAATATAAACAAAAACAAAGTTGCGTAAAGATAAATGCAAAAATGAAGATGAAGGTAAATTTAAACACTTTACTCTTATAAGGGCAAAGGGAAATATGCAAATGAACAAAGTGATAAAGATAAACGTAAAAACAAAGATAAATATCAGGAAAAAGATGAGGATGAGGATACCGATAAAAGTAAAGATGAAGATAGAGGAAGAAGGATTAAAATACAGGTAATTCTATAGAAAACGATAAAGATAGAGACACAGAGACTCAACCTTGGGAACTATTTCGGGATTCTTTGAACTTATCGATATAATAACCGATATTTTTATCGATTTTAATATAGATTTTGTTATCGATTTTTCTGTCGACATTTTTATCGATTTTGTAATCGATATTTCTATAATCGATTTTGTTATCGATATTTCTATAATCGAATTTGTTATCGATATTTTTATTCATTTTGTTATTGATGTTTTTATCGATTTTGTTATCGATATTTTTATCGATTTTGTTATCGACATTTGGCGATATTTTTATCGATTTTGTCATCGATATTTCTATATTCGGTTCTGTTATCGATATTTCTATCGATTTTGTTATTTTCATCGACTTTGTTATCGATGTTTTTCTTCGATTTTGTTATCGATATTTTTATCAATCTTTTTATCGATACACATGATGTGATATCATTTGACAGAACATCACATGATATGACATAATTTGGCATGACACTACATCCTATCACATCACTTCACATTACGTCACATGAAATCACATCACATGAAATGACATAACATTCCATCTTATCACGTCATCGAAAAGATAAAAACAAAGATGAAGACCAAGGTAAATTTAAACACTACATATGGATATATTTTGGTTATGAGGCAAGCTAGATATGTCCCGTAAGTTTCACTTCTCCAGTGTGGCCCAGGCGCACCTACTTTTTTTTTTACTCTACCCCGACTCTGTTCAGAATGAAATTATGTTATTGCCAGTTGTTCGCAGCGTGATAAACGCCCTAACGTACTTTTCATGAAGATGTCTTTAGGTGGAATGTTAAGTACTAGTTGCTGAAGTGGCATGCTTCAGTATTTCTTTTCCAAGAAAGCAAGAATCGAGAGATAACAAAAATTTTTTAAATTGCTGGAACGTTTTAAGTAACCTAGTTCCCAGAGTCATTTTCTGTACAGGGTTACAATTTTCCTAGCACCCGGAAATTCTCAACTTAGACATAAAAAATCATTTTCACATGACTTCGTGCACTAAATCATTTCAGCTCAGTTATTTGTAAAGCAACTTTAAGTTTAAATCTGATTTTAGGGGAAGAAATATTTTCCCTTCTATTTAAAATTTTTCGTATTCACACTTCACACCCTTCAATTATATAACTACATTTTTGTTTCAAGTCATCTGAATGGACTTACCGAATACACTTAATTTTTAAGTAATTTCCTTAAGTCTCCTCTTCGAAAAGTTTTGCTTTAATGGTATGAGTACAGACAAATGACTCGCATTATTGTCACGGTAGAGCGGCAGCATTTTATTTATATTGAAGTCGCGTTTATGAAGGAGCAGTCTCCCCTAATCACTTCGCGAGCGTCACAGCTCAAATACTTTGTTCCACAGTTGAGTGTATGGATTTATGATATAATGCTCCCAGGAGAATACAACAAATCCATATACATATATGTATGTATTTCTCCAATACATACGATGTACAAATGAACGCGCAGTTGTGAAAGACATTTATTTTAATATTTAATGCAATTGAGAAAATTTATGTATGTACATTAAGGTGGGGCTTATAAGTTACTTAAAAAAATTTATTACTTTTAATGGGTACTCTCTAGTGTGGTTGCAATCTGTGAAAAAAGGGGGAACTTTCTTTTAAGGCCGATCGTTGTGTGCCGTTTATAAAAATGTAACTCCCGACTGCCTAGGCCCCTTACAGGTCCTTCTGGGGACTTTACAAAAATGGGGAAAAATAGCAATTTTTATTTGCGTTTTTGCTTGGTTGAGTAAATGAGTAATGAATTTTTTACTAGAAAGCGATCCCGTACTTTTCAGTGTTACTCTCTCGCTCTGAGCGAATTTTTATTTTTTGACAGTTTTACTAGTCCGAGTCCGAGGAATACGGGATTGCACCTTATGACGCAGCTGATGGTTTTGCGTAACGTCATTTTTACACAGCCGTATTAGATGCGCGGGGATATCAAATTCAGACACCGCTACATATAGGCCGTCGGGTAAAATTTTTTACTAGAGCTCCATGATACCATGTCTAAAGTCAGTTCGTTGGCGATGGTCTTTAGCCTTTCACACACAAAATATGCTCAGTAAGACCTTGTAGGCAATGCTTAGAAGGCTGGTCCGTAGCGGTGTCGCCCTTTTTTTGGATTGAGCAGATCAGACTTTAATTCCAATCGCCGAGCCTGTACTCATCCGACCATATTCTGCATAATAGTTGATATATTCGCCTATCGATTTCCCGCCACCATACTTCAATAGCTTAGTAGGCAGTTCGTCACCTTGCCATTCGTTTATATGGACAATGTTGAAAAACGATAAATAGGCTTCAAGGGCTTTCCACAGAACCATTCACCGAAAGATATATTGGTCTGTTTCCGTGGGCGACAGAGGTGCCATGGTTAATAAACCGCTCACCGAAGAGCGATCGCATGTTTTTGTTGCGGCACTACTAAACCCCACCTATTTTGGTTTATCCATTAATCATTGTCATCGAGGTCAACTAACGGTAGGCCCAAGAAACAGGCAGTTTCAACAGGGTCGGCCTAATGGATAGAGGTGTTAGATGAGTGATATTGAGCAGGCATGTGAAGAGGTGGAAGATAGCTGTTGAGGTGGCTACAGTTTCCAGAACGTAACTGGGCAAGGTAACGCAGGTCTCTCTTGGCAGTTGAAGCTGCATGTCGGAAACAGGTGGAGATTGGCCTCCGATCACGGTATTCATAGGCCGGGAGTCATGGTAGATGGTGACCGACCCCCTATAAATACCATTGATTTCTCGTCGGTACGTCGTCGGGTCCAGTGGTTGGTCGATGTATTTCTAGACCTCGTTCTTGTAAAAGAATAGATGCCCTCTGCCATGCCTGGGTGGAGTCTCCTCCTCTAGCAAGGGTCTGTTTGGGTGTTCATGTCTCGCATAATATGTTCTAGCTACAGAACCTGAAGTTCTGCGGGAGACTCTGAAAGGCTTCAGACCTTATCGACTAAAATTCATTCAGAATTCTTTCAGAAAACGTTTGACGAACCACAGAAAGGTTGTGGACCACATAAGCTCGGATAAGATCCACGTTTTTCGATACCTTCAGCTCGGTCGGTACATTAAAATCCAACATATTACGGTGCCACCCAAAGGGTTCAATAGAGTCCAGAGCTTTTAATGCTGCTGACACCGGGACCAGCATAGCCATTCTAGAACATACATCCATTAGTAGTCTATTAGACTCTGCAAGTGTTCATTTGAGGAACTAATACCTTGTAGGACCTGTTAAAGGATAATTTTGCTGGCATTTTGTCTATGAGTTGTATGACAGGATTCTCAAAGCATAGATTTAAACCATCAAGCACCCATAAAGTCTTGAATTCTTAGGCTAATTAAATTGCTGGGACATAAAGCGCTCCATCAAGATTCATTGTCAATTGCTTTTGGTTAGAGGTGGTATGCCTGTCAGGAATCGTAGTACTTTCGTTGGCCAGGTGAGCATGGCTCCTGTAATGGCTACACAGACTAAGCGGTGCTTGACTTTTGGCCTCTATTTTTGCTGATATTACTACACATCTAATAATCGGTAGTTAATGACCAAAACATCAGTTTGGGTGATATCCCCCATGCTTTACTATAAAGAGTCTGACAGCCTTGTTGTTAACAGCTCGGAGATGTGACTTTCAGTTGAACCCCTTTTACAGGATTATTCCTAGACAATTCGCCTCTCGTGATAATTCAATCTCCCCAATTTCCGGTGGTAGGCTTGTAAAGCCAAATAAAAAGATGACGACGCTCGAGTGAAGGCTCTTCTTGAGATAATTGCAGCCCCGATTTATGTCTACAAACCGACGCTTAGACTAATGAAAAAGAAACGATTTGTTGTTTTTTTCATAATTTATATTTCAATTATTTTATTGAATTCATTCAAATTTCGCATTCATACGAAAATAGTTTATCTTTTTACATTTAAAACTACATACAGATAAATTTAGTATTTAACATACAATAATGCATTACATACATACATATCTACATATGTATGTATATGTATGTACACATTTATAATTTTAGCGATTCTAAAAATAGTACATATGTATGTATTCATGTATTCGTTTGTATGTATGTATGTATATTTATAAAAATATAATCATTGCATTTTTTCTTTCCATAAAATTTCAGTCAGGGACGGGGACAGAGTTGCTCTGTGGGCTTCTTAAAGGTGAGCATAACTAATTAAATATTTTACACTGCTTAGGGCTAATCAATCTTTTTATTGTATACACTTTGTTGTGATTTTCTTTAGCGAATACGGTGGTAGCGCAATTGCATACATACATACATACATATGAAGAAGCGCCTAGTAATAAATAGGCCAATATAAGTAATACAGTGGATAACAAAAAACAAGAACCAGTTAAACAAAAACAGTTTTACTTACTTAAATACATAATTAAATTACTAATTTTTAAAATTACATACATATATACTTATATACTCATAGAGAAAAAATTTTCCATTTCAAATTTGGATAGCGTTTGTGGCAGCGCCAATGCCTACACGCTGGGAATTGAATTCCATAAGCGCTGCTTTAATCATTTTTTTCATAGCCAACTTCACCTACACACTCACTTTCATTTGGCCCTCGTCGCGTTTGCACCACTGGCAGCGCTAGCGCTATGATTGCCAACGGCAGGCGGGGCATTGACGCTGGCGGAATTCGTTGACTTTGCAGTCGCACTGCTGCTACCCACTGTTGACCCTGGCGTAGCTTTCGGGCCTGCAACAGACGCTGCTTTGCCGCTACCTACAGCGCCGACATTCTCCAACGGCTTGTCAGCCGTGCCGTTCTTCAACTTCTGCATGAACTCATTTAACGCTTCGGCGCGCTGCATGCGCGACAGCTGCTCCAGCATGAACGCTTGCTGGTAGCTGTAGTGGTGACTTAACTGCTGCGCATTTGCATAGGGGTAGAACATTCCACCGGGCTGTGAGGCGGCCGCCGCCGCTTGCGCCTGTGCGCGCAGCAGATTATCCTTGAAGAGCTTACTGAAGTCAGCGCCTAGGTGCGATGGCATGCCGGGCAATCCTGCAGCCATAGCGGCGACTTGGAGCGCTGTTGGCGGTAGATTTGACATGGCGGGTAGACTCGGCAGCGATGGCATGCTGGCGGAGGACATGCCAGGGTGTGGAGGGTGCATCATCTTGGCGTTAACGTTGGCGTTCGGTGATGAAATGGGCGGTGGTGTGACACTGGATCTAGCGTTCGGTGCCAATTTTGAGGACTGTTGATGCGCAGGTGAGGGAGATTTGTTCGACTGTGGCGCACTGCCTTTCCCAGCGCTCAATGCATTAGGCGAGTGGCCGTTTTTGGGCTGCTGATGCGCCGCCTGTGGTTGAGGCTGGTGTTGTTGTGCGCCCGGTGATTTCTTAGGCGGCGTGACTTTCTTGTTTGCGTGCACCTTGACTGCCACACCGCTTGGCGCCGAGTAGGTGCCGATAATATTGGCTGTGGTTACTTTTGGTGGCACGACTTCAGAAATTGCAGACGTGGGATTTTGACGCGGCAAAATGGGGCGGAATTTCTTGCTAGCATCGATACCGCCCGAACTGCTGGGTGACTTGTGTGTAGTCTTACCATTGGGGGAAGTGTTGATGTTCTTCTCGGGACTTTGCATAGGCGACCTCTTCTCTCCACTGGGCTTTTGATGATCCGCTTGTGGCGATTTCAAGGGATCAAGCACTTTCATAGTGGACTTTTGCGGGCCACCGTCGTTTGTGTGCTTTGGGTTCTGGTGAAAAGCAGTCGCGTTCGGTTGCGGCGATTTTGTTGCCGAAGTTGAATTTTGGGAGATAGTTTGCGTTTTGTTTGCACCACTCATTACACTGCCGTATGTTGTCTTCTGTGCGGCCATGTTACTTTGAGGTTTCTGTGTCATTTGTGTTAAATTCGTAGCGCCATAAGCGGCAGATTTACTCTCTGCACAGTCGCGCTTTGCAGGCGAACCCGATGTGGGAGCGTTCCCCGACGGCGGCATAAGCAGCTTGAGCGACGACGACTGCGTTGTTGGGGGCAGTTTTTGCGCGGGCGGTGAAGCCCGTTTATTTTGTTGCTCCACAACCTCGGTTGGCTGATCGGGCAATTTCAGTATCTCAATGTAGTTGTTAACCGGGCTCTTGTGCTTCGGATATGAGGCGTTATTTGCCTGTGATTCGCTATCTTCGCGGGTAATGGTAATCGATAGCGAGGAGGGAATGTTTATGTTGCACGAAGTTAGCAAGGACTTCACTTTCAGTTGTTTCTCTGGCGGATCCTCCGGACTGGGGCTGCGTGCGAAGGGATAAACCCGCTTTGGGGCTTGCATTTGGCTGCTATCCGCTGTCTTCTGGTTGCCGCCATAGGACGGCGAGCTGTTTCCACTTGTTGAACTCGAATTCGGCAACTCTTTCTTAGTTGGGGGCGCTGGAAAAAGTCCGGCCATTTGATTATTGCCGCCACCTAATAAATTTTGCAAGAAACTGCCTGAACCACTGGAGGGACGTGGCGTATACTTGTAAGTAGGCACTGTGGGAATGTTGTAATTCGGCATATACTGCGGCGAGCTGGGCGAATAAATTGGCGAATTGGGCGTGTACATGGGTGTGCGGCAACCGGGTGGCACCTCATTACCTTTCGTTTTGGAAGCGTTGAACAGCGCGAGGTTTAAGTAATTATTCGAATTGCTGGATTTTCCATTCTTCCCGCCCGACTTGTTGGCATTACCCGCTGCCCCCAGCCGCGTTTGGTTGATATTTTGAGGCTGCTGCTTAACAACTGGTGTGGGCGGTGGCCCCATCAGACTATTTTCTGGCGTTATTGTTGTGCCACTGGTGGCTGTCTTCGGCCCGTACACCTTCCCTGATGACTTGGCATTGCTAGCGATTGACTTGATTTCAGTACCAGCATCCTTCAGTAGCTTATTGACGTCACTTGGTATGTTAGCAAACGGGTTGGGACGTGTTGACTTCGGCAGTATGGGTTGGTAGCGCTTTGCAATCGGTGTGCGGTTGCCAGGAGCAGACATTTCGATGCGTGTAAATGGCTGCGTGGGGGGTAAGGAATTGTTTTTATGCGCTGCGGCACTCAACTTGCCGGAGGGCTTTTTTGGCGGCATACCAATCGGCGGGCGCATAATCGCTTGGCTGCTGCTGGTGACTGGTTTGGCGCTTGTGGATGTTGTTGTGATTGTGGTGCCAACATGCGTTGCGGCAGTCAACGAGCTGGTTGTTTTTGGTGGCGGCATAAGCGGCTTATCATTCGCTGCGGTACCAGATTTTGCGGCAGGTGAGCCAGCGGGTTTTGTTGTGTTGCCAATCGGGTTTGGAGGCAACTTTATTTTAAAGTCATCTGCCGGGAGTGGTGGTGATAATTTAGGCTTCTTTACTACATTCTTAACTGGTTCCTTAATCTTACGTTTTGATGGGATGCCGGTGCCTTTGTACACAGTACTTATTGTTGTCTTAAGCGGATCGCGTGCTGAGCTTGTGGGCGACTTTACCACAACTTTGTGTGTATAACCCGAATTGGGGCTGGTTTTCGGCGACTTCGGAGACTTTTCGGGTGATTCGCTCTTGACGGATTTAATCGGTGTCAGTGCAAATGACTTGAGAAATTGAGATTTTTGTTCGTCCTCATTGCAGGTGGGTGACGCAGGTGTGGGCGTCTTTTCCCTTGTATGGTTATTGTTTTTTGCCAAAGGACTTATTTTGGTTTGCGGACTGATTTGTTCGGCTTTTATTGTCAGTGGTGGTACAGTAAGTGGACTGGGAGTTTTGCTTTTGCGCTCACCGCTCGATGAGTGCTTAGGACTTGCCGAATCCTTATCCTTTTTACTTTTCAGCTTCCACTCCTTTTCAGGGCGTACAGACTTGGTAATCTCACGACGATTTGGATCAGACATATTTATAATGGTAACGCTGTTATGCTTTGACAGGTCAATTTTAAGCTTAATATTTTCAACCTTCCGTTCATCACGTGGCGGTTCTGCAGCTTGTTTTAGCGCTTCCTTAGCTTCTTTAGCTTCCCGTTTCTCTTTGGAAGTTTTCGGTGAGCTGTGTGAGTGATGCGCATTCAGAGCTTTTTCCGCTTTCTCCGCTTTACGCTCCGCTGAAGACCGCTTAGTCTCTGTGGTCGAGCTGACTGCAGGCATTTTGGAGGTGGTCTTTGGCGGCTTCACTGATTTCGTTGCTGGTTCAACACTCGACTTTATCTTCTTTTCTAAAACCGCTTCTATTTCTTTTTCTTCTTTTATATCATCTGGCGTTACGAGAAGTGGATCCGTAGCATTTAGAGCTGCCACAACAACGGGTTTCGGAATTATTATCATAGCATCCGGTACAGGCGTGGTGCTGGTGGTGGTGATCGCTTGTGGAACTTCAACAACTACGATTTTCGGCGGCGCATTTGCCATCGTTGCCGGTACGTCCACAACCTCATCCTTTATTTCAACCACTTCTGGCGCAGTTACTGGCACTATGGCCGCTGGTCTACGTGCTTTAACAATTGGTCGTAGACAACGTTTCACACGAAAGTAGAAACGCATTGGCGCATCACGTTTCCATGTGTAAATATACGCTACATCCATGAGCGTGTAGTGATCGAGCAGAACGATGGTCTTCACCTTGTACATGATGTCAATGTTGAAACGCTGCGCATCAATATCGAATTTCCCATGTACGAATTTCTTCAAATGACCAACAGTGCACATAGCGGGACACTGCAGGTAACGTGGCTTCAGCAATTCACCATAGCCACTTTTTCGTCGAACTAGTTCGCTGTAATGGGAAGAGAAGAGGAGAGAGGAAAGGGAACATAGTTGTAGTTGTGTGTGGAATATGGAATAATATGTAAGCATTAGAAATTGTATGCATTTTTGTAATGCATTAAATCGATATTGGAGATATCGAAAAGCAGAGAAGTAGTATATTCTAAATACGAGGGTTGATCGAAAAATCAGTGACGCTTTGAATTTGCCATTGAGTAATTTTAAATGCAACACTGTTGCTTTCAACTATCATCTGCCAAATACTATACAAGTTTGACCAAACTAAGGCATTTCGTTTGTTTTTTTTTTGACAACGAAAATGTAAAAAGTTAATTCCGTCTGCAGCTAAACCAAAGAAAGGTTTAATAAATTCAATGGCTAAGGAGTAGTTTAGGAGTGGTGGTCGGTGTTTACACGAGGCAATTTGACAGGCAACTTTTAGGTGAAAGCAACAATCGCCTGGTGTGAACGGCCTTTCAATTAATTTGTGCCAATGAAACTGGGGCCATCCAACTTATGATTCAACTAATCACCTCTAAAATTGCTTCATGCAAAAACCGTATTACTGAATTCCTAAGTGATCGGTAGGGGGAGCGAATAAATCAATTTCTCAAAACTGCGTGGTCAGCAAATAAACATTGTCAATAATCAATGCGATTTTTAAAGTATGCACAACACTATACTAAATATGTAATTTAATTGGATAAAAAACTGCACACTCAAAGTCTTTCTAGAAAATTATTTTCCGATCAGAAAACAGTTTAACATATGTAGTTCAATGTGTTCATGTTACGCAACTATTCCGCACTATTAGAATTTGGAAATTGAAAATTTGATTTTTCCGCTCCTCCCTACTGAGCGGGTTAATCAAATTTTAAATTACTATTTGGATACGAGAAATCAAAATTATTCTCCAGATATAGCCTCCCAATGACTATTTTCCGTTTCCAAATCGAAGATGTGGCTCGTTGGTAAAAGATTTGGGTCGATTAAAAAGTAGGGTTGGGACTAACCCCATACCCAGTCGTGCAATCGTTTATACGGATACAAACCGGATACCCGGAATATTCCTTCCTCTTTGATTATCCGGATATTCAAAAAAGGTCAAGTATCAAACTAAACGAATAATATATAAGGAAATAAAACGGTAGTTTCAAAAAAAAAAAAATGTATTCGAAAACGCACTGACTTATCCACCTAACCTCGTGCATTGATATGCTGTACTTACTCTGTATCCGCAAACTCCAGCGACAATGACATATAGTCAGAAGGGCTAAAGATGAGATGCTCCGTATCATCACCACGTTGTTCAGGTGTCGCCATGGCAGCCTCTTCCGGACGATCTTTGTAGAAAGCGCGCTTGCGCATAAGTTCCCGCTCATAGAGGCCGGGTACAAGTTTGTAAACAATGGCCTGCAAAGTGGTATCAGGTCTGCAATAAAGGCAATTAAAGAAAAAATTATAAACAAGAGCAAACATATACTTTACATAACCTAAAATTAGTAGGTATAAGTATAAGACAATTTTAAACCTTTGCATGAACCTCATCAAATCAAAATTTCCAATTTATAGGAAGTCTCAGTTGAACGCAAAAAAGCTTTTTTTTAGTTTCCCTCTAGTATTTTATTCGAAGTATTTTACCGGCCTAGCCGACTTCCCTAAAGACGAATTCTATTGTTTCTCATTTTCTTTCATATAAATTGCTTCAGAATTTTTTTTCAACGACGAAAGACGGTTATTTTCAAACCAGACATTTGACTTTCTATTATAATAAGCAGGTGGCCCAAAACTGGCACCAGAATGAGGGTGATTCAAAAAGGATGGAAAGAGATATTTATAGATATTTTCAGACAATCCAAAGATTGTTTTAACAACCTTTAACCATGGCAGCGGGAAAGAGTGAACACTGGGTACCAATGAACCGAGTTCGGCCACGAATTGGCTACTCTTCTAATCTGTTCCTATGGAAACGCCTTTCTTCGAGACTTCTTAATGCGGAGTTGTTTTGTTATCCTTTGGCCGGAAAGGGCAAGAGCAACTTTCTATATAGAGCTGACGTCTGCTTACTAGCAGGTTTTCGTTTTTATCGGATCGGTCTGTCCACAGAAATGGAATTCCGCCTTTGCCTTAGAAATGATGAAACATCCGAGCACATTAGATACGCATTAGATAGAATAATACAACTCTCCTGGCTGAAAATAAGTATTAGAATAATTTCGGTTCTAGAATCATGTGCGTTCACACAGAAAGCCGAGCGGCGCTGAACTAAGCGAGGCGGAGCTTTTCTAATGGACACGGCTGAAAAGTTACTACACAAATTACCGTCATTAAAAATCGGCAAAAATATTTGCTCAATTTTATTCAAAATATTAGTTGTAAAATTCGTTTTCGTGTGAATAGTTTAATATCTCATTTGCAGCAGAATCGTGAAGCTGAACAATTAATAGAAAATTCAAAATCAAAAACTGCTTTACTTTCAGCTCCAAAACGCTTCCGAAAAAGCTTGCTGTATGAACACTTAAGTACAGCCACAGCAATTTGAAAGCTTCACTCAGCTCGGAACGGCTTCTCTTGGCTCGGCTCCGCTTTCTGTGTGAACGTACTCTAAAGTATTTTTGCCGCGCAATTTCGAAAAACTTTTGATTTTTTTTTTGGCCGACGAAAAAAGATCACGCTCCACAAATCTCTGATCATGCCCGTCCCTTTATATGGCGCGGAAACGTGGACGATGTCGCACAAAGATGAGAAGGATTTGGGGGCGTTAGGGAGAACAATTCTACACAAGATCTATGGCCCTGTTTGCGTGGGCGACGCGTACCGAAGAAGATGGAATGACGAACTGTAGGAACTTTTTAAAGACATGAACTTAGTTAAGCGCATACAAATACAACGATTGCGGCGCTTAGACATCTTGTACGAATTAGGGCATTCAATACCGGGGTCACGGGATTGTGGCTTCGGGATCCGGTGACGTTTACTGTTTTTTTTTTTTCAAATAAATTAATATATATACAGGCTTTTCCACTAAGGTGCATTATGCTCCGCATAAAGCCAAATGTGGCGACAATAAATCTATGTGGTTCCATTTTTTGATAGCTGAATTTATTGCTAAATTCCTAAATTGTGATAAAGTCGAAATCCCAAAAAATTTCGGGTTAAGAATTTTTCACATCCCGAAGTTCCGAGATTGTTGAAATGCTTCGGGATTAAATGCGGACGACGCTTGTCCCCGCTTGGGATGAACAACTGGAGTAAAACTGCAAAGGAGAGAAGCAACTGGCGAAGCTTTTTGATCTCGATGCAAACCGACTAACGGTTATAGTGTCAAATATGAAAGAATGATCAAAATACTTATTTTCCAAAAGTTTAAGGATTTTTGACGAGCTTTAATTTATTGTCATTACGGTAGTATGTTAGATTGGTAGGGACTGAGATCTGGTGGTTAAGTACTTGTAAAGGTTCAGTTAGTCTAGACTTAATTTACCTAGCGGAACTAACGCAATATATTTTTGTTCAGGAATTTTTTGATATGGCTTAAAAGCGGCAACAAAGTGACAACCAGCTAAAAAGGAAAATACAAAAACAAAATATTTTCTCTTCCGGCTAAGTTGACGTTTGCAATAATCATTGGCGATTTCCTACGTAAATATGTTAAGTCTAGACTAACTGAGCCTTCAAACTGAGCTTTAAAACAGTTCACTGACCATATTTCTAACGTCCACCAAAATTTCTTCTTCATCAATATCTTCTTTAACTGGAAAAATACTAGTGATGTGCTAAGTCGATACTTTTAAGTATTGATCGATACTCTGTACCGAAATATTTAGGTCTCTAAAAAAGCGCACATAGGCCAAAAATATGGAAAAACCGTTCAAGGAAGACTCGCTTATCAAAAGCCGAATGTAGGGGCAAAGAGAACTTTTGATATATGGGGGATTCACAAGGGTGTCGTAAGTGTTGTATTGTTGTATATCGTAAACTTTAAAAGCTTAAATAAATATTTTGTTTAGATAACTTGAAACCACAACCAACTATGCACTGCATAATATGACTTTAATGGTATATTGCGAGTCCCCTTGATATATTTTCAGGCATTTAAAGTTTACGACTTACAATAATACGCCACTTACGACACCGTTGTGAATACCCCAATTGTTTCAAATGAAAAATGTATATGTATATTAGGGCGGGTCGAAAATCTAATTTTTCTCAAATCCCTTGGTAATAGTGAAAATATATTGTATCATGAAGTCAATAACAAGCCTGCAAAATATTAGTATTTTATTTTAGTTGTAAGAGCCCGCGCATCGACCGAAAAGTGACCCACAGCACACTACTCGAATAAGACAAAATCTTGTTAAAAATTCTGGGTTCGGCAAAAAGGTTTGGTGCGTATTATTAGATAATCAATCCGTTTACGCAAAAGATAAAGTCAAATTTCATTTCTCGCAGCCCTTTAGCTTATGGTTAATCCCAAGGTTATCTGTTTTCAATAAAATTTGAATTGTTCTCTTGATAATTGCACTGGCCTATAGTCAAAAGATTTAAAGAACAGCTTTAATATTGATGGCGTGCATTTAGGTCGCTGGTTCCAAATATTCTAATATTTTTTTAATATTAGCAATGGTTTGCGAATTTTTGCAAATTTAGGAACAATTTCGGTAAGTCTAATAGAAAGCCATTATTTTCCCATCATCGTGGAAAAATTTTGTTTATGCAGATGAGAATGGAAACACTGAACAGGCACAACTTCTATAAACGCTAATTACTTCGCTCATGTTTATACATACAATATAAAAATTGCAAATATAGGAAAATGACAAAAAAATTTGTTCAACATTTTTTTTTTATTTTAAAATAATTTGTTTATAATCTGAACGATTTTCATCATATTATTATCATAAATCAGTAACAGTAAGTCTCGCCTTCAATTTGTTAATTATAACGTACCGATCGAGTAACATTTACCAAAGTTATATCGAAAAACTTAAGTGGATCTCCAGTTTTTTTCTAAAAAAAATTCTCTTCAATTGTATATATAACCTTTAAATAAATTCAAGCTGAATGCAAAGCAATATCGTCCAATTGGAGAGTCCTCAAAAGGATTTCCCAGAATATGTTAAATACTATTGCTTTTACCTACAGTCACATTTTCACATCATGGAATTAACTAAAACTAGTATCGCCCCGTTGTCGAAATTCGACCACTTCACTTTTTTCACACACTTTTTCATTTTGCCAGGGAAGTGTTTTAGGCCCACCAGCACCTGTTAATCGTCTAGCTCGCTTACACATACTGTTTGGTGGAGTAATATACATTCTGTTAAATAATTTAAAAATTCATAGATGGTGAAACCAAATCGGGCACCTACCGGAAAATAATACCTTTCGAACAAAAGAAGAATCATCCAAATTGGTTGAGAAACATAGGAGCAGTAGGGAGGAATAGATTTGTATGGGATTTCGTTAGCGTATTAATATATAGATAGTTATGTATATCTAAACACTTATTGCACGTCCCCTACTTTCATATAAAAGCAGAATTAGAGACCGCGAACAATTTTCAAGACTGCATAAATGGACTTAAAATGGGCGTTTCTCACCCTAATTGTATTATGTTAATGTATGTATGTAAATACTTATATGCTTGAAACTACTATTAACTTATCAAACGATTCCTAATATTTGAAAATACTTGTTTGACTTGATTCACCACAATCTTGAAAACTAACCAAATCGGCGTGACCAAGTCCATGGCCCACTTAATATTATATAAACATCCGAAAACATTAGAACGTTTAAATAAATCTCGTCTCACTTTTTTGAATTTTTCACTTCAAAATGTATATGTACATTAGACTGCATCACCAAAAAAATTGCGGTTTTTCCGGAGGGATTACAAAGTTTATTATATTTTAAGACGTCCGCCAAAATATTTCGGAAAAATATTAAGATTTAAGCGAGCTGGACCGATTTGAAAATACCTCCAGAAATGGAGTTTTTTATGAATATAAATAGTTTCTTAAAAAACTTTCTGAAAAAAGTCCTCCAGATGACAAAACAGATTAGGATTCAAAAATCTGCATAAAAATCGGTATTGAAGTATTGCGTACCGACAATTCAGCACATCACTAAAAAAATACGGATAAAACTGTTTTCATTTTGCTTGCGTACATTGAGCAGAATCAACAATTTTCTGGCTCTCCTGAACGTTTGCGATTTTTTGAGTTCTGACTGTTTTTGATTAAGAGTGCGATAATAATTAAATGGAAAGTATGTACATACATACTCAATTCCATTGCCACTGGGTAATTTTTGTACTTTTCGTGGACTGTTAGCGTGAAATAAATGTGTACATGTATGTATTTCAAACTAATCATTAAAATGTTGTAATTAATTTGAAAAGTTTTGAGAAAAAATTGATTCGATTTG